TTTTTTTGGGGGGGGGGGGGTTAATCCTGCCCACTTTCCCTTCAAAATCCTGGTGTTCAGGCCTCCAAAACCTGCACCCAAGGTTGGGAGATTTGCGTTGACTTTCTTGGGCAACCAGTGAGCTCTCGGAGCTTTTAATCCCACCCCTCTCCAAAACCCTCGCCTAAACTTTAGGTCAGCGCTGCCCTTTTTTAAGACCGAGTTTGTATTTACAAGCGTTTTGAGTCTTTTTTTTTTCCCCCTCCCTTCTTTTTCGACACCAACTGGAAGAACGGAGATAAAACACTATTGTATGAGCAAAACCAAGAGCTTCCAGATTTCGGCGCGTTCCTCCTCTTCTCCCTTCTCAAAAATAACGCCACCATGAGCCGATAAATCTTTTTTTTTTTAAAAGAGATTGCAGAAAAAGATGCCCAGCCCTTTTTTATTCGGTGCTGAGGACGTGGCTTGGCATCGTCGTTAATTAACGATCTCTTTTATTTCTTCCCCCTGCTAAAGTACCCCTGTTTCTTTTTTTTTTTTTTTTAACGTGTCTTTTCTTTTATTTCAGGATGTCAGCCAGAAATAACTGCTGTTTCCACGGAGCTGTGGATAAATTATAAATCAAACGAGGCTGACAGCTCGCTCGAATGTCCTGGGACTGATCCAAAACCATGTGAAAAGAGTTTTTGTAACGGATAATAAAGAATATATTCCTATTTGTAACGTCTGAAAGGTGCATTTGTTATCGACGTCGCTTCCTGCTCCGATGGGGAGAAAAACTTTCATGTCCCAAAATGGAAGAAGAAAAAAAAACAAAACCCAACCCCAAAAAAAACGGTCGCTCGGAGGATGGTTTTAATGTGGGGGGGTTTTGCCTCACGCAAGACGTTTTCTTTCCCGTTGCAGCTGCAAGAGGCGAACGCGGCCGAACGACGAGGACGTGGCCCAGATCGGCCCCAAGAGGATCAGGTAACCCCAGATTTTTGTCCCCAGGGGTCCCTAGAAACAGACTTTTGTCCCCAGAAACAGATTTTTGTCGCTGGAAACAGACATTTGTCCCCAGGGATCCCCAGAAACAGATTTTTATACCCAGGGGTCCCTAGAAACAGATTTTTGTCCCAAGGGGTCCCCAGAGGTGGACTTCTCTCCCCAAGGATCCCCAAAAACAGATTTATATCCCCAGGGGGCCCTAGAAACAGATTTTTGTCCCCAGAAACAGACTTCTGTCTTCAGGGGTCCCCAAAAACAGATTTCTGTCTTCAGGGGTCCCCAGTAACAGATCTTTATCCCCAGGGGTCCCCAGAAACAGATTTTTGTCCCCAGGGATCCCTATAGATGGATTCTTTTTGTCCCCGGGGGACCCTAGAAACAGATTTTTGTCCCTGGGGGTCCCCAGAGATGGACTTTTGTCCCCAGAGACGGATTCCTTTGCTCCCAGGGATCCCCAGAATCAGATTTTTGTCCCCAGGGTGGGGGGAAGGAGAGGCTGCCACCCCATTTCCCACCCCTCCCGCGGTGGGACCCCCGTGACGAGCAACGCCAGCTCCGATCGGAGCCTCCTGAAGGGCTTTATTTGCTGAAATAAAGGGTTTTTTTGATGGGTGGGTTAAGCGGGGAGACGGACCTAGCGGGGTGCCAAATGGAAAAGCCACATTTTTGGGTTTTTTTTCTGACTGTCCTCCCCCCTCATCGATGCCGGGGGTTTTTTTTCCACCTTCTGCAGGAAAGCGGCGAAGCGCGAGATCCTCCTGTGCGACTTCGAAGGCTGCGGCAAGATCTTCTCCAACCGCCAGTACCTCAACGTGAGGGTCGGCTCAGATAGGGCAGGTTTTGGCTGGCTAAACTCCGCTTTGGCCATAAGCTGGAGTTAAGCAGGTGGAATCGTCGACGGCTTTTCCAAAGCTGGGCTTTGTTAGTCCCTTGCGTTCGGCAGCCGCTCGGATTGCAGCATCAAGATGGGGCGGAGCCAGTTCTCCCTCATCCTTAAATACCTTTTTATTTTTTTTTTTTCAAATTATTTTACCTCCGATCCCGTTCTGGTTTTCTCACTCAGATTACAGCACCAAGATGAGGCAGAGCCAGTTCTCCCTCGTGCTTAAACACCTTTTTTTTTTTTTCCAACTTATTTTATCTCAGATCCCGTTCCGTTTTCTCTGCTGCCTCAAAGTCCCACCACATGCTTCAGGGAGCATAACGGGAGGGGGGTGCGTGTGGGAGGGCAAAAATTGTTTCTGAAAGGTGCCCTCAGGCTTCCTCCTCTTTTCTTCCTCCTTTTTTTTTTTTTTTAATTTTTTTTCCCTCCCCAAAACGGCAGCACCACAAGAAGTACCAGCACGTCCACCAGAAAACCTTCACCTGCTCGGAGCCCAGCTGCGGCAAGTCCTTCAACTTCAAAAAACACCTCAAGGAGCACGAGAAACTGCACAGCGGTGAGTCGGCCCCTGGACGGGCATTTCCCTCCCGCCAGCTCCTCTCGGGCTCCGCAGAAACCTCCTCGTCTTCCTCTCCATCTCCTGCACCCTCACCATCCTCATCTGGGAGGCGTCAACCGCACCCACTGTGCTTTCTGCTCCCCAATTTTCATTTTCCACCTCAATTTCTGGGCTGGGAAAAGCATCCTGCCTCCTCAAATCCATCTTGAGAACTCTCCCCAACTGCTCTTCCAGGCCCCCAAATTTTTTTTTATTTTTTTTTTCTTTTTTTCCCATTTTTCTTCTCCCCACAGACAAACGGGACTACATCTGCGAGTTCTGTGCCCGTTCCTTCCGTACCAGCAGCAACTTGATCATCCACAGGCGCATCCACACCGGGGAGAAGCCGCTGCAGTGAGTTATCGCTCCCCTCAATATTGCCATCAGGGGTTTCTCTTTTTTTTTTTTTTTTTAACCCCAAATTTAGCTCCTCGGTGCGTGGCCGCACGGGACAGCCGAGCTCCCCGCCGCGGGCAGCCAGAGGACTGGCTGGTTATTTTTGGCTTGGCTCAAAAGTTTTCTGCTGCGCTCCGAGCCAGCAGCTTTAGGATCAGTTTTAGGGCGTTGGGCTTGATTCGGAGCAGTTTCTTAAGCCAGGTTTTAAAGCAGAACGATGCTTCCCCGAGCCTGGAGGGTGTGCTGGAGCCACACAGAACAGCAGGGCGGTGGTTTTGCTAAACCCACATAAAATTACAGCACCAAGATGAGGCGGGGCCAGTTCTCCCTCGTGCTTAATCCCTTCTTAATCCTTTTTTTTTGGGGGGGTTATTTTACCTCAGATCCCATTCTGTTTAATCCCAGGTGCGAGATCTGCGGCTTCACCTGCCGCCAGAAAGCCTCCCTGAACTGGCACATGAAGAAACACGACGCCGACTCCTTCTACCAATTCTCCTGCGACATCTGCGGCAAGAAGTTCGAGAAGAAAGACAACGTCACGGCCCACAAAAGCAAAAGTCACCCCGAAACACCCGCCGGGACCCCCCAAGCCGAAGGGGGGGGCCAACGACACGTGGCACCATCCCCACCGCCCGATTTTAGGGCAGGGCTGGAGCACCCGGAGGTACCCGGGGAGGCTCTGGGGGGGCCGGGGCTTGGGGACACGCCGGGGAGCGAAACGGAGACCCCAAACATCTTGGCTGAGTATCGGGGGGGTATCGGGCACGATCCAGGTGCACCCCAAAGGCGGGTGATGGACGCTGTTGGCTCGTCGCAGGACTCAGCCTAATTCTTGGATCAGAGCGGACTAGAGAGCAGGGTGGGGGCAAAATCCGAACTCCCCCCCGCCCCAGGCTGTGGCGCAGCGTGTCCAACGCCAAAAATATTAAGCAGCAGCTCTTCCAGGAGGAAATCCCAAACTTTTCTGCCAAAATAACGGGGTTTCTGTGAGCTCGCAGCAGCGTCGGAGCCACCAGGTGGCAAAAGTCATCGTTGGGATCTTCAATAAAGCCTTATTTTGTAGAAAAGAGTTGGGTTTTTTTTTTGGCCCGGCTGCCCAGGCGTTGGGTTTTTATGAAAAACGAAGAGGTGGAGAAGTGAAGTTTCTGTGGGTGTGGCCTGTCTGGATGGTCCAAAGGTTGGTGGTGTTGAGCACAATAAAAAAACAAAAGGAAAAAAAAAAAAGAGGGGGGAAAGGGGGGGGGAAAGGGAAAAAGAAGTAAAGGGAAAAAGAAGGGAAAAAGAAGTAAAAGAAATGGAAAAAGAAAGAAAAAAGAAATTTAAAAAAAAAGAAAAAAAAAAAAAAGGGATTTGGG